GTCGGCCGAGCGCTAAGGGCCGCGGCCAGCGCGGCCTTCGCCTCCGCCTCCTCGGCGCGGCGCTGCGGGCCCGCCAGGGCCTGCGCCAGCTGCCTCTCGGAGCCCCTCGCCTGGTCTTCGGGGCGGGAGCGGTCGGCAGGACAGGACAGGTCGGGGCAGCGGCCCGCAGGGGGGCGGCGCGGGCCCTCCTCCCTGGCAGTGCGCCGGGCCGGAAAAGGACGCAGTGCAGACTGCAAGATTGGGCGAGATGTTGGGCGGAACACTGCAACAGCTGATCAGGGCAGGGGGTGGGAGGAGGAGGAAGTCGAAAAGGAGAAGGAGGACGAAGAGAAGGAAGAGGAGGAGGAAGAGGAGGAGGGGGAGGAAGAGTAATAATAATAAGCGCAAAAAGAAAATGATATTAGGAGTAGGAAGAGGAGGAGTAGGAAGAGGAGGAGGAGGAAGAGGAGGAGGAGGAGGCGGAGGTCGCGGTCTCGTTGTCTCTGACCCTGGTTCGTTTTCCAGTTTTTCTCGGCCCCTGGTTCGTAGTCTCGTTTTCTCGGGCCCCGATTCCTTTCATCGTTTGCTCGTTTTCTCGGCCCCTGGGTCGTGGTTTCGTTTTCTCGGACCCTGGTTCGTTTTCGCGTTTTCTGTGCTCTCGGGTCGTGGTCCTCGTTTGCTCGGACTTTGGTTCGTTTTCTCGTTTTCTAGTGTACTTGGCCCCTGAGTCGTGGTCTCGTTTTCTCGGACCCTGGCTCGTTGTCTCGTGTTCTCGTTTTCTCGGCCCTGAGGTCGTGTTCTCGCTTTCTCGGGCCCTGGCTCATTTTCTCGTTTTCTCGGCCCCTGGGTGGTGGTTTCGTTTTCTCGGGCACTGATTTGTTTTCTCGTTTTTCGGCCACTGGGTCGTGGTCTCGTTTTCTCGGACCCTGGTTCGTTTTCGCGTTTTCTCTACCCCTGGGTCGTGGTCTCGTTTTCCTGGACCTTGGTTCGTTTTTTTCTGACCCTGGTTCGGTTTCTTGTTTTCTTGTTTTCTCGGTCCCTGGGCCGTGGTCTCGTGTTCTCGGACCCTGCTCCGCTTCCTCGTTTTCGAAGCTCCTGGGTCGTGGTCTCGTTTTCTCTGGCCCTGGGTCGTCGTCGTCGGTCGGTCGTGCGTCGTCCGTCGTCCGTCGCCGTCCTCGTCCTCGTCGTGTCGACCACGACGAGGTCATACGATAACGGCGACAACGACGGCGACGGCGGCGACGACAACGACGAGGACAACGACGGCGTCGTACGAAGACGTCGAGCGACAGCTACGGCAACGACGACGGCGACGGGGGAGGATCGTCGGGCAGGGGGAATTCAAGGGTGGTAGCTAAGCCGCCCCTCCCCTTTTGGAAAGGGGGGGAGGGGAGGGGAGCTTCCGGCAGGGGGGGAAAAATTGAGGGAAGGGGGGGGGGGCTTCCGGCAGAGGGGGTCAAAGGAGGGGGGGGAGCTAAGCTCCCCTGCCCTTTCGTAAGGAGGGGGGGGGAGCTTCCCATGTGCCGAAAGGAAGGGAGGGGGGGGGGGCTGCCAAGCCCCCCCCCCTTGGAACCCAAAGGGGGAAGGGGGGCGGGGTAGCTTCCAGCAGAGGGGGGTCAAGGGGAGGGGGGGGTAGCTAAGCCCGCCCCCCCCTGTGGAAAGGGAGGGAGGGGCGGGTAGCTTCGGAGTGGCGAAAGGGGGGGAGGGGGGGGTAGCTTCAGGGGGGAAGCGAAAAGGGGGGGGAGGGGGGGGAGCTTCCAGCACGGGAGGCGGAAGGGAGGGGGGGTAGCTGTGTGGGGACCCCCCCCCCCTTTGCTCCGGCGCTGTGGGCGCGCTCTCTCTCGTAGGTTGGAACACCGCAAGGTAGAAGGATCGCGCCGCATCGCCGATGCGACGTCGGCGATGCATCGGCGACGTCGGCGTGGCGGACGAAACACGGGCTCCACATCGAGCCGCATCGCCGATTCATCGGCGACGCGGCGCGATCCTCCGACCCCATTGACTCGGACCCCATCCAGGAGGCCTAGAGAGACGCTCTTCGACAGTCCCGGGGCCCAGTGAGGACCCCCGAAGGCCGAAACTTGGCGGCGAGCCCAAGGGGGGAGGTGAGAAGGAGAAGGCCTTCTCAAAACGCTCGGAGGCCCCCCAGCCTTCTGAGAAGTTCTCTTGGACTTCTCCGAGGGCACCGAAAACCTGTCAGAAGGTGCGAGGGCTTCTGAGAAGTCCCGCCGCCTTCTGAGAAGGCCTGCTCCTTCTCACTTCCCCCCAGGCACGCACACCGAATTTGGTTCTTGGGTCATAACTCGGGTCTCCGGCAGCCGTTCGGGACGATCCGGGCCCCCCCAGAACGCCCTCGGCGAGGCGCAGCCGCTGGAACGTATCACGAGGGTGGACAACCGCCAAGAACCGACGAAAACACCCGAAAACGGCCGAAAACGTTGAACCCAAAAAGGTCCCCCACGCCCGCCGCCGGATATTTTTGTTGGAGTGCCGGATATCTGGGCCTCTGCAGGGCACTGGGAGAGCAGGCGCTGCCCCCCGGACTGCCCAGACATCCAGCTGCTCCAATGTTATCGGTGCGTGGGCCCCGGAGGTGCGTCAAAGAGGGGGGCGTCCAAGAGGGGTGTGTGCAAATCATGGCCCGAGGCATGTGCGCGGACCATAGGAGGGCCAGGGAACGCATTGAAATCCGCCGATCCGGCGTGTGAGTTTAAGAAAGCCACAACCTGAGCTTCAGCTCTGCTGGGGGGGGGGGTCGGGGTGGCTCTGCCGGGGTAGGGGGGGGGGTCATCGGGTCCACGCTTTCTTCCCCCCCCCCCCCGGGAATCCCAAACCGCCCAAAGACGGGCCAAAAGGGGCCCAGGAGGCCACCAAGACGGTCCAGGAGGCGCCCGAAACGGCCCAAGAGCGCTCCTGGACGCCCAAGATGGCCTGAAGACGGCCCAAGAGGCCTCCAAGACGCCTCAAGGAGATCCCAAGAGGACCCCCAAGAGGGCCCCAAGAGGGTACAATAATAAAGTTGCTAATAGGTTTTGAAGCATTTTAACATTATCGCCTTTTCCGTCTTAGAAGCGCCGAAGACGGTCCAAGAGGCCCCCAAGATCGCCCCAAGACAGCCCAAGAGGCCCCCAAGAGGAGCCAAGACGGTCCAAGAGGGCCCCAATATAGCCCTGGAGGCCCCCCAAGACGACCCCGAGAGGCCCCCAAGATGGCCTCAAGAGGGTGAACCCGCACGGACCCTTCTAGTCCTCCACCCCAAGATGACCCCAAGAGCCCCCAAGATGCCCCCGAGGCGCCCCCAAGGGGCCCCCAGAGGCCCCCAAGAGGTCCCCAAGAGGCCCCCAAGAGGACCCCGAGAGGCCCCCAAGAGGCCCCAAAGGCCCCCAAGAAGCCCCAAGAACCAAGAGGCCCCAAGAGGCGCTCACTCGCGTGCTGCCAGGCCAGAGGTGCACGGCCTGACTTGGTATTGCTCGGAAGCGAAAGCGATGAACGAAGAACCTTCCACCCGTCGCCGTCACCAGTCGTCGGTCGTCGGTTGTGGGCAGCCGTTCGCCGTCAGTCGTCGTCGTCGTCGTCTTCGTGTTCGTCGTCGTCGTCGTCGCCGTCGTCGTCGCCGTCGGTTCGTCGTCATTAACTCCTTCGTCGGTCGTCGTCGTAATTATCCCGCTCGTCGACCGTGGCTCGTCCGTTGTCGTCGTCATCGTCCATTTCAGCAACAATAGCATCAGGAGGGCCCCGGATCGGCGGCACTGGCCGGATGCCACTACAATAAGAAGAAGCGCCACGAAATCTGGGGAGATAACATGGCCCCCGCCATGAGATCCACCCCTCCGCCCCGGGAGGCCCGGACGACATCCCCAGGGCGGGACTTACGTCCTGAGTCGTTTTTGACGGTCCCGAGGCCCCGCTAGGGCCCCAAGAGGCCGCCGAACACGGCCAAAAACCGCCTGCTCCATTTTTTGGGGGAGCGTCGGATCTCTGACCTCAGGTTGCCCCCCCCCCTCCGCGTCTCGGCGCGCGGCGGCTGATAGCGCCCGTGGCGCGGCGCGCCTCCTCGTCTCGGCCTCGGCGGCCGTGCTCTCGCTCTCTCTCGGGCTAGGCAAAAGGGGGGATAGCAAAGGAGGGGTTTGAGAATCAGCTCACGGAGGCGGCCATGTATCGAGGAATGGACCCCTCGGTGGGGCTGGAACCAACTGCATGCAGCCCTTGCTGCCCCCCCAATGCATCGCTCCCCAGTTATCCCCGCCCAACACACATCGAGCACCTCGCAGATCCGGCGGCGCTGGAGGAAGCCTCGGGCGCCGCGGCCTTCTCAGAGCGTCCTGGCCCCGTCCCGGCCCCGTCCCCTTGGCCGCTCGCACCTTCACACGGCCGACTGCCCCTGGAGGCGATGGTACGGCCGGACCTAGGACAGAAGAGCATCCTTCAAGAACATGAGACCCTCCGCCGGCCAAACTGAAGAACATTCGAGGGTGCCCTCCCCCCAGGGGCACGAGAGCATTCAACAAGCACGAAAAACATGAGGGCACCCTCCAATAACCGACCTCGATCTTACACCTCGGTCCGACCGTAGAGGCCGACAAACAGAAGCATAGACATCAAACTTTCGGAGGCCCGCGCGGATTTCTTGAATCGGCGCTGGACCCCCCTCCCTGGTGAGCTCCGTGCGCCAGGGGAGGCTCCGGAGGCGCCACCAGGGTGCCCAACCCATGACAAATCCGCAAGGACCTCAGAGAAATTATGTTTGTACTTCAAACAATCTCTGAGGTCCGCGCGGATTTCTCGGATCGGCGCTGAGCCCCCCTCCCTGGCGGGCGGAGCGCGCCAGGGGCGGCGCCAGAGGCACCCCCGGCGGGCTCCGGCGCCGATCCAAGAAATCCGCGCGGACCTCCGAGTTTTAATGTTCATGTCACTGTCCGTCACCCAATGATACGACGCCCTGCCATGGACCGCACGTGTAACTCTTGCCGGACGTGCCAGAGGCCACAGAGAGAGAACTGTGGACAATCAAGAATCACACACCTGTTGTTGAGCTCCCCAGTGGACTGCGCACTGACCCTGAACACCTGGGCTCAGTTCCCTGGCGGAGGCTGTCTTTGCCACCTGCGTTCCGGGAGGTGTGCGAAGAAGCGTGGCACTCCCAAAACGCAGACTAATTTGTCACCTGGCGGGCCTGGCCAAAGGCACATCGATGAAATTGATGCTAATCGACGCTGAAGCGGCGCTTTCCGATCGAGTACGAGAGGCCAGCGCACGCCATAGGAGACCTCGTTAGCTCCCATGAGTTGCTACCGAAGTTCTCTGTTTCTCTCTCTCTCTCTCTTTTCCTCCTCTCTCGTTCTCTCTCCTCTCAGGAGTGCCAGGTCCTGGGACAGCATTCGGGAAAAACTCGGGCTCAAGGCGCGCGCAGCACGACAAGGAAACAGAAGAGGCTCCTTCTTCCCAAGGCTGCCGCATGGTGGCAGCGTCCAGCGAGAGATAACACGGCGAGGATCCGAGAATCGCGCCGATCATGAGTGGAGGAACAAAGAAGTAACTACATACGGTCGGAAACTCTTGCTTAGCGTGTCGCGGCGGCGGCCCCAGCGACACGGTATGCCTCACAAGTGGATAGCGTGTCGCCCCGCGCCGCAGGGGCTTGGGGAAACTCGGGACGTTGAAACCTGGGGACTGGACATGGATGGCGTGCCGCGCCGAAGCGTGGTGGGCCAGAACTGGCGGGGCGACACGCTGTCCAAAAGATCCCGATCGTGATCATAAGATGTCGGAGGTCTGTGGGTGGATGGGCTGGGTGTCGGGACTTCGCGTGTTCGGTTTCCTGTAACTCCAGACGGGCCTCCAAGATGGCCCCAGGACGGCCCCAGCGTGCCCAAATAATCCGCCAAAACTGCCTCAAGACAGCCCAACAAAGAAAAGCCCCTAAGCGGCCCAGGACGGCCCTAAGAAAGCTCAAAGCTGGCCCCCATTCATCCTATCCCCGCCCTGGTTGCCCGAGTCATGTCGGGTTCTGGGCCATAACTTCAACCACAGGCGGCCGTTCGGAACGATTCTGGCACCCCCCGAACGGTCTCGACAGGGCGCACCTGCTGGAAACCACCACACCTACGAGACCCCCGACCGTAGGCCCCTGAGCCTAGGCCCTGACCGTGGGCGCCCCTGACCGTGGGCGCCCCTGACCGTAGGCCCTGAGCCTATCCCCCCCCAACGCTGCCCCTGACTCGCCATCGCTCGGACGTCCATTCCCCGTGAATGCTTCGGCTCCGTGCGTCTGTTTTCCGCAAGACGATCCAAGCTGAACCCCGAGGGTCCACGCCGAGAACAGGACGCACACGTCCGAGCGATGCCGCGCCCCGAAGGGGGGCTCGGCCGCGCCGAGGCCCCCGCTGGCCAGGCGGCGGAGCTCCTTCAGCTCCGCCCCGAGCTCCCCCGTCTCCTCGCGGGGCAGCGCGGCGGGGCACCGCCGGACGAGGGAGGCCGCAGGACCAGCCCACCGCGGAGCGGGGCAGCCTGCCCCAGCCCGATGTTGCCCCCACGCTGGCGGCCAGAACCCCCGAGAGCCTGGCGACTCAATTCTTTCGAGCCGGACGTTTCGGCTCGGCGTCGGGCCCCCGGGACCCTCACAGATCGATCCGGTTCGACGCCTGGCGCAGAAAGATGGCGTCTGGGGCTCCGGTCGCGATTTCCACGATGTTTCAGTCTTTTCGAGACGTCGGATCTCGGGAACCACCTGATCCAAGAGCTCCCCGACTGGAAATCGGGGAACTCTTGGACCAGGCAGTTCTGGAGGATGCACCGGCGCCGCGGCCGCTCCAGAGCCCCCAGCTTTTCTTGGGGCGACAGGCCCGGGCCAGCGTGGCGGGGCCTCGGCGCGGTGATCAGCATCGGGCTCTGGACTATGTCTCTCTCGCCTCCCCCCCACCTCCTCTCGTTGAGATCGCGACGGAGGGTTTTGTGTCGACTTTCTGCCTCCGAGTGCCCTCACCGCGCCCCTGGACCGTCAAAGAACGACTCGGGACGAAGATCAGGTCCCAGGACCCAGGGAAGGGGTCCAGAACTCTGGGGGTCCGCGTTCTGAAGAGAACACGTCGGAATTCTGGATTCTGCCTGTCTCTCTTGCCTTCTGCCCCCATGATGGAACGCAGCTGCTGGAGGTCTTCGCAAGAATGGTTGAAAGGCATCATGCCCCATTAATAGAAGGCTAAGTCCGATTCAACAGCACAACCCGGAATCAAACAGAACGCTCCTGCTCGAACTTTGCACCTCTCGTAAACTCACTGTCGGCAACACAGTTTTCGACGAGCCTCTGGAGCGCCAGATTACTTACTATGATATAGGACACTCGCCGGCGGACCCCCCAATCCACCAGAACTACGGACAACTGGACTTGGCGATCGTGTCCATGGAGTGGCTCGGGTGCTTGAAGTGTGTGCAAAGCGTCAAACACAGGGCGATCGCGTCGCATCATTTTCTCGTGGCTGCATCCCTGGACGTGGATGTCCCGCGCGAAGACAGCGGCCCCCGCGAGCCTCGACGACAGCTTGACGCGCTTCGGGACGAAATGGTGGCGGGCACATTCTCCGATGCTTTCTGTAACCACATGAGCTCAAGTGGGTGCGAGCACGGGGGCGCGAGCGTCCAGCAGCTCGCGTCGAGCATGACAGATGCCTTTCGTTGTGCTGCCCAAGACGCTCTCCCGACTCTAGCGAGGAGACCGCGGCGACCATGGATCTCTGACAAGACACTCCAGTTCATAGACCAGAGAGACTCAGCGAGAGCGCGCGGGAACACGCAGGAAGAGCGGCGCGTGCACCGAGCTGTCAGAGATTCCGTCCGGGCGGACCGTTCGGATTGGTTAGAGAGCCAACTCGCCTCTGGAGACTGGGCGCCGATACGCACCCTGAGAAGAGGAGCGCAAGCGCAGCAGGGCCGATTAGCCGACATGGAAGATCGTCTTGTTGACTCCGACCAACGTGCCGACACAATGGCAGAGTACCTTTGCAAAGTCCAATGGGCAATGCGGCCGACAAGCGCAGCGCCGGACCGGGACCCCCTTGGCGACGAGCTTGCCGTGCCATGTGGCCCAATCACCAAAGACGAAGTCGTTGGCGCTGCTGCACGTATGAAGCAAGGCAAGGCCTCTGGCAAAGACGATATCCCGCCAGAGTTTTGGAAGACAATCTGCCGAGCTGGGACGCCTGCCTGCAGATGGGCTGTCGAGCTCTGCAAGAAGTGCTGGAGTGACGCAACAGTTCCAGCAGAGTGGCACGAGGCGCTGGTCCCAACAATATTCAAGAAGAGAGACGTGGCCCAGTGTGAAAACTACAGGCCCATCTCCTTGACGGCCGTAGGCTACCGAATTTTCCCTGCAGTTTTGCTTGGCCGGCTGAAAGCGGGCGGGGCCGAGAGCCGAATTTGGCGAACTCAGTTCGGCTTCAAGTCCAAGCACGGAACAGCGGACGCCATTTTTCTGATACGGCGAATTCTTGAAAGAACTTGGGCCGAGAAGGGCGGGCAGGTCGTCCTGCTGGCTCTCGACTGGGCGAAAGCCTTCGACGGCGTCTCCCCGGAGTCTCTAGCACTAGCTCTTGTTAGATTTGGCGTGCCCGCGAAGTTCGTGGAGGTGGTGCGGGCGATCTACCGGGAGCGAAGTTTCTGTGTCCGGGATGCCGGCTCGACCTCGGCGCCGAGGGCGCAGGAATTCGGCATCAGCCAGGGATGCCCGCTGTCGCCCTTCCTATTCGCAATCGTGATGACCGTGTTGTTGCGAGACGCGAAGGAGGAGGCCGGGCCACTGCTGGACCCCTGCCAGGCGGTGCATGAGTTGGTCTACGCCGACGACACACTGCTTGTGTCTGGCGAGTCCGATACAGCGACGGCATACATGCGCAGCATCGACAAAGCCGGATCGCAGTACGGGCTACAGTCCAAGTGGCGCAAGCTGGAAGTTCTAGCCGTTGGCTGTAATGCGCATATTCCGAGGCCAGACGGTTCCTGGGTGCCGCAGGAAGAGAGCATTCAAAATCTGGGCAGCTTGATTTCGAGCGACGGGAAGATCGGCCCTGAACTCTCCCGCCGACTTGGTGCCGCGCGGGCGGAATTCGACAAGTTGAAGCGAGTGCGGGGCCATTCCACGCTGACGCAGTCAAGGAAGCTGGAGGTGTTCAACGCTTGCATTCTCAGTAAACTGTTGTATTGTATGCACACGGCCTTCCTGAACCAGGCGGAGACGAAGAAGCTCGACGCATTCCACGTGAGATGCTTGAGGCAGATACTTCGCATACCTCACTCGTACATTAGCCGCGTAACAAATTCAAGTGTGTTGGAGCAAGCAGGCGCTGCCCCACTGAGCAATACTTTGCTGAATCGTCAGCTGCTGCTCATGGGGCATATTGCCCAGAAGCCAGCTGATGACCCGGTCAGGTGCCTGGTCCTACGCCCTTTGTCATGCCAGCTTATAGCACATAACTTCAAGCGAAAACGGGGGCGCCCCCGGAAAACTTGGATCGAAACTGTTTTTGCGCACGCTGTCCGGGCCGCGGGGGGTGAGGAGGCCCTGCCGCTGCTCTGGCAAGATAGCGTAATTAATTTCTGCCGCAGCCTGGCGCGCAACCATGAAGCGATATTGCGACGCATTGTAAGGCCACGGCATTTGTGCTCATGTGCTTTGCACTCAGCTTTTGTCTAAGCCCGATTGAAGAGGGCCATTCGGCCGGACAAGCTCAGAATAAGCTCGGGATTAAACCCGGGTCAGCGTGATTAAGCTGCACTGTGCCCGATTAGGCTGGATGCCGAGTTAGGCGGTTTTTGGCCACGGACGTGCTTGCGCCCGAGTGCCGAATTCAAGCTCCCAGGAATTACATCCTAACCCCATGGGCCCAGTCTGACGACAAGGGAGGGGTAGTAAAGGTGGGGCTAGCCAATCAACTCCCGCGGCTTATCTTCCCAGCGCCTCCCGGCGCCGCAGGCCCCAATGCGCCGAGGAAAGGAAGGAAGCCCGCGGCGGGGCCGGATCCAGCTGCTGTTTCCTCTCCATTCGCCCGACCGAACTGGAAGGGGTTCCCTGCGAAAGCCCCCGCTGAGCGCCCTCGGCCACATTCGCGGCCTTCTCGATGCACGACAGGCACCGCGCTCTGGACTCCGGGGGCACTCCCTGCGCCACTCCACACAAAGCCCCTCCTGGAGCTGCGCCTCGCGACTGGCTGGGCCTGCCCGGCCCGTCCCGCCACCGTGCCTCGGGTGCGGGTGCGCCAGCACACCCCAAAACAGGTCACTCCTCGTGGGAGACCGCCTCGAGCTCCTCCTGCTCGTCCCCCTCCTCCCGCTCTCCCTCTTCTCCGTGACCAGGCCGCCGACCGATGCGGGGACAGTGTGCTCCTCCATCGCGCCCTGCTCCTCCGAGGCCTCTGGAGGCATCCTTGGGCATCCTCTGGAGGCCCCCGTCATGAGAATCGTTTAACCGATCCCCATCCCCAGCGGCGTGGCCTGGGCCCCACTGGCCGATATTCCCCCCTAGATGGGGATATAGGTCGCTCCCTTCGGGTTTCGAGGGGTGTATCCCCAAATGGGGGGGGTAATTTGGTGGGGGTCTCGAAGGGGATGGGGATGGGGATGGAGGATCGGTTAAACGATACTGATCCTCTGGAGGCCCCCAGCAGGTGCCTCGGCGGACCTTCTGTGGATGGACGTCCCAGCGGCGGGGATCCCCTGCGTGGCTTCGGCTGGAGCTCCGCGGCGCGCCCGGGGCCCAGGCGAAGGCAAGAGGGGCTGGGCCTTCTTAGGAAGGCTCGGCGGGCCTCTGGCTGCTCGAGAACGGCTTCCCCGAAACCACAGGGCGGCTTCTGCGGCAACTCGTGGGAGCCTCCCGCACCATCTCGGTGGCTTTTGCGAATCGGCGCTAATCGACGCGAAATCGACGCGAAATCGACGCTGGTCGACGCTAAATCGACGCTGTCCGGTGCTAAATCGGCGCTGTCTCGTCGATTAGCAGACGCTGGTCGGCGCTGGTGCATTCTAACAACGGACTTGCGAGGGCACACGGGCTCCCACGCTTTGCTGCCGAAGGGGGCCTCTCGGGGGACGCAGAAGCCCCGCCGCCTTCCGAGAAGCCCCGCCCCCTCTCGTCTTCCCCCCCGGCGCGCCGCCGAGCACCTCTTCTTTGAGGGGGCAGCTTCAGGGGGGAACTGGCTCGGGGGTGGGCTACAGCGCCGACGGACCGACGACAGGCCCGCGACAGCGAGTCCACACGCCCCTGGGCGGGGTGGGCAATTTGGGGCCCCTCTTCGACGACGAATGGGAGATTGGGGCTCGATGCGCCCGCCCCCTGATCCCATCTCTGCCCCTTCCCTCCCCCTGTCGGTGCGATCGGAACGGGTACGGAGAGGACGGGTGCGAAGACCGACAGCATTTCTGGCTCATTTTGCAGCCAGGACTCGC